GGCCACGAGATCCAAAAACACAAGGTGTTAGCAGCAGACTTTTGGATAGTGAATTATTTGAGGTAATTTTTTTAAAAAATTATTGTAACACTTTTTTGATATGATGTATATGAGATAGAAAGATAGTTGAAAGATGTGTTGATGATGCAGACAAATAAAATTTGGTAAATAATTTACAATCCAAACAAATTTGAAATCCTCCCATTTTTCCAAGGGAATGACTAAATGAGTATAGAACATCTGTGGGTTGAGGGGTGTAAATGAGTCAAGTTTAATCGAATAACTTGCGAACTTGTTCGGTCAAAACCCGAGTTCAAATTTGCATTGACCAAATTCGAACTGCTTGACGAGTCAAGATTGAACTTAATATGTGAAATTTGAAAGGTCGTTGAGTTTAATCCAATTCAATCAAGCTTCACACACACACACATACATATATTAATTTTTATTTATTAGTATGAAATGTCTTTTGTCCCTTGTTTAAAATTGTGTAAAAAAAATATAAATTTATAATTTTTAAAGTTGATTAGATTCGATTAAGTTCAAAATAAACTTAATTGGACTCGTTGGCCATGAATTCGAGTAACGCAAAATAAAATCGAACTCGACCTCAAGCTCGACTTTAAAAAAATCGAGGAGCTCGAGTCCAAATTTTTTAAACTTGACTCGTTATTCGAATTCGACTCGACTCGGCTCAATTACATCTCTACATGTGCTTGCCGAGAAAGACCATCTACATGTGAGCACATATGAGGCCGTCGTTTCAGTGGGTAGTAGCCAATTTGAATGTGAAATCTGACAGAGTGACAATAAGATTTTTCGATTTTTTTATTGGTTCCCGTGGAAAAATGCAAATACTACCCTCTTCTCTCGCTAGTCCAAGTAAAAGATGTCGGTGAAATGATTTAGTCGTCCTCATATTCATTCGCAAATTCTTTTCCATTCCGACTCACATTATTAACAGGAACAGCCCAGGAGCAAAATTTCAAACCAGTTTGTCCTTTTTTTTTTTTAAAGCAAAATACTGATCATAATCATTTTTTTCTTTTTCCAAAAAGAAAAGCTGGTAAAAGGAGTAAGTTATCCCTGGTCCCGATCGTCTCAGAATATTTTGTGGACAAGCAAATATTTTCCCCCCGAAATTGTTTAATATAGCTGAAGAACTCTTAAAAATTTGAAGCAGAGCACCAATATCGGTTCTGTCTGAACTGTCTAAAGTGAAATTTAAGTATTCTTGTCAACTATATGTATATTCGTGAAGTTACTAAAAGTGCCAAAAAATAATTGCCGTGGATAATTTTTTTTTTTTTTCTTACAGCAACAATCCAGATGGAGGGGAGCCTATGTATAAGGAGTTAGCATCTAGATGGAGGGAAACCTAAAGAGGCTATGTACGAGGGATTAGTAAGTATAAGAATCTGATTAGATCAAATAAGTGTTCTGGTGTCTCTTTTGAATTTTTTTCACCTCAGATGGGGTTCGAACTCCCTCTCTATAACCCAAAGAAGGATTTAGTCCATTTTTTGTGGCGGCTGAGCTTGGCTCAGTGGTTTTTTGTTTTGCCGTGGATAGTGAGCCGGCTTAATTTGGTGTTGTTAGGCACATGCAAAGGAAAGCTCAAACGTCTCCAGCATGCAGTACCAAATCTTGACCTGAAATCTGCAGGGGCCTCATCTGACTCTGATCACCTCAGCTGTGCGGCATATCATCCATGTGCATTTAATTTTATGATTGATGTGTAACTTGTAGATACCATTCATCACACAGGCATCACTGCTTTGAAAAATCAATGAACAAGTTAAAAACTAGAACAATTTGATTATTTCTTTTTCTTTGTACACCTTATCTGGATCAGAGCGGTGGAAAGACGAGGAGTCCCACTATTAATAGATGATGGACCAGAACGAGTTCCACGCCAAATTAAAAACTGTGTGTGCTTATTATATTTATTTTGAAAACACGGGAAGATCGAAAGGTTTCTCCGTAATGTAATGGAGGGAGGCGTGTGCTGGTTGATAATTAAGGTATGGCCACTTTGTCATTGTCAATGCGTCAGAATGGTGGTGGCATCGGCCTGACATTGAAATTTCAAAGCACATTTTACCTGTTGCTTGCTTGCTTGCTTGATAGCAGCACTTTCTTTATGAAGTCGGCAAGTATGAAATGGTATGAATCACGGCCTCCTTGTCACTGTCAAATTTTGGACAAATACCGGAAAGGGAATCTGCTTTAATTGAAAAAAAAAAGAGAGAGGATACTGGAGTACTATTTACTGTGATCCCGTCAACAAAATGCTGATGAGATAATCATAATACGGGGTTAATTCGAACTTGGGACGAAGTACTGATAATGAAGGGCCAACCAACTCAGTGATTGGTGCATTCCCATTCCCTTTCAGGAAGTGTGGCTGGGAATGGGAAAGTGATAATTTAGCATTGCCCACATGAAAGAGTTGCCCATGATGAAGATGAACATGAAGATGAACTCGATCCAACTCCAACATTGAGATGAGGACACACACCCCTAAGAATCCAGATCGAGGGACGCATGTTAAAAGAGTTGCAGGGCTTTAGCTTTAAGAGAAGTATAGACCATAGCTGAAATGCTTTGACTGCGTGTTTATTCAACATGGCAAAGATGCTGGCTGATTATACCTTAATACTAATAAGCATTGCCGAAGAGGAACTCAATGATTGATGCTTCTGATCAACATGGCAAATAAATGTGTATCTCATCTCTTCACGTGCGACCGACATGGTTACGTGCGCCCTGAATAGAGAGCACGTCTTTTCTGAGCAATTTGTTTTCAGGTTTCCACTAAAGCACCGGACAAACCTCTCCAATTTCTTGAAAAGACAAGAAAGTATTTGCCGGAGAAAGCTTATACTACTGTGTATCCATCAAAGTGCTCTGCCATATGCCTTCAGCATTGCTGGCATTAACTTTTACACAGTAAAAGTAATATTGAAATCTCAACAAATAAGCCAAGGAACAAGAAGGCAATCTAAATATCTATACAATAAACTCAACAAATGGCCTGACCGTGGATAGTGTGACTTTGATCAGTCACGAATGATCGCTTACAAAAGGAAAGATAGAACATGAACTGATAGATCAGGGATCTTTGGTTGGGCAGAAAACAAATAAGGATAATTTCAGAAACCTTCCCAGCAAACGTGAGAGGTTTCACTCCAGTAATACTCTACTCTGATATCAGCAATTCTAGTAGTTACTGCTTAGGATCAAAGGTATAATTAACCCTTCTGAGTTCTGACCCTTCTTTCTTTTTTTTTTTTTTTTTTTCACTTCCGTTTCCTAATTAGTTTACTATTACAATTAGGGGCAAAAAACCCCGATGGTCCTCGAACTTTTCATTGGCGCACTTTCACTCTTCAACAAATAAGTGTGTATATTTAGTGGAAAAAATCGTTCAAAACGTTCTTCACATTTTGCCAGATAACTTTATTCGTCTCTCACTTTTAAAAGTATAATTTTACGTCTTTTACCAACTCACAGAGATCAAATTTGGCCCCTACCTAAGTTTCCGATTAGTTTTTGGTTGGAATCCACCATGCACCTTGCACGTGATTATTTTTGAAGAATAAAATTGTCAAATCAAATTTTACATAATCCGATCCATAGTCCCTCACATTTTACAAAATAAATTTTTTCGTCCCTCATCGACCATGTATATGAATATTTTTTTTTAAAAAAAAATTCACACATATATCTATTTGATTTGACCTGAATAGTACGAATAGCATGTAATATATCTCTATTTTATTTCATCTAAACAGATTAATTATAATTGTACACATATTATTCAATAGATATATACATAAGTTTAAAACTAACAATTTTATTTTAAACCCACGTATATATCTATTTAATTTTACCATGTGTACTTGTTCAATATTTGTGGCCTTTTTTCTTTTGAAAATAATTTATTTATTGAGTTATATAATAAGATTATCTTATTAATGGTTTCTAGTTCGAATTCTATAGTCATGCTAATAAATTACAATTTAAATCTAAAATTTCTACTCGCCACTTTTAAGACCAACAGTTGAATTACTTGTCTTGTGATTATATTAAAATTTGAAAGTGCCAATTACTTACTTCTTTTTATCATACTTTTCCTTTGTTTATTTTTTTGTCCAATTTTAATTTGATATAAACACTTGATAATGTTTAGAATTAAATCTCTTCTTTGTTTTCAATTTTTGAGTAACAGGAAATGAACATGAGTGAGAAATTAATAATTTTTTAAAATTCATGTATATATCTATTTAATTTCATCTGAACAATATAAATAGCATGTAATATATATCTATTTGATTTTGTTTAAATAGCTAATTATAGTCGTACACATGCTATTCGTATTGTTTAGATAAAATTCAATAGATACATACATGAGTTTAAAAAAAAAATTATTCATACACATGATCAATGAGAGATGAAAATTTTATTTTATAAAATGTGAGAGACGAAAAAATTTATTTTGTAAAATATGAGGGATGGAAAATTTTATTTTATAAAATGTGAAGAACAAAAAAAAAATATTTTGTGAAATGTGAGGGACAAAAAAATTTATTTTGTGAAATATGAGAGGCTATAGATCGAATTGTGTAAAGTTTGATTTGAAAATTTTGCCCTTAAAAGATGATTACGTGCAAGGCATGTGGTAAATTTTGATAAAAAAACTAGTCGAAAGTTTAGATATGAACCAAATTTAATTAATGTAAATTTGTAAGGGACGTAAAATTACAGTTTTAAAAGTAAGAGACGAAAAAAGCCATTTTACAAAATATGAGGGATATTTTGAATGATTTTTCCTATTTAGTGCTCCAACTAATAATATATATGCTAATAATCCTTCTGTCCAATCCTACCGTTAAGATTGACGAACATACATCGCAGACTACTCACGTGATAAATTGAAGGGGTGATTTTGTCAGCATAGAACGAGGAAGAAAAAACCTAAAAGTCTTCAAAATTTTTTGGGAATTTTCCTGCATGAAAAGATAATCATCAAATATAATTATGACCCAAACCCATTATAATGCCATAGGGTTTTGGGTTCTCGAGCTTCTCTGATGGCCTAAACAGGTACAACAATAGCAAGAGCTTCAACGCTTTGATCTCTCAAGCGAAATGCGTGACCAATTATGTCATAATGAAACATCAATATTGAAGCCACATCAATAATCTGCAAATACGCCCTCAAATCATCTATAACCACTAGGGGTCCAGCAGAATACTACCCGGAAGAAGAAGAAGAAGATTCATGAAGAGAATCTTGGAGAGGTCAGGGTTGGGGGAGACGACGTATTTCCCATAAGCTTTTTCCAATTATCCACCAGATCCCGGCATGGCTAAGGTAAGAAAGGAGGCAGAAATTGTGGTTGTTTTTTGTCCAAGTACATCTCGTTCAAAGATTTTTTGGGTTTCGCTCATCTCTGTACTATGTTGACAAAATTACCCCTTCGATTTGTCCCTTGAACAATTTGTGATGTATTTTCCGTCGACGTTAACAGCAAAATTGGATGAAAGGGTTAAAAAGAAGCACCCAGAATGAAAGAAAATCTTGTGTACGTCGACCGTACTAAGCATTAAAAGTTGATCGGAATCACTTTTCACGTGTTCCTTCTGGAATTTGTTTACCTATTGTCTTTGCCAGCTAGAAGTCAGTTCTGGCCGGAGGAGTGGGGACTGGGGGGAAGATTCCCGAAGAGGGAGTGTGTGGCAGAGGATGAAGCGATCTTAGAATTGTCAGTTGTAATTGCACCGAACTCTGCAGTGGAAGCTACTGCTAGAACAAATATAGACATTACACTTATAGATATTTGGAATTGTCAGTGATAATTGTACCGTCCAATATACGTAGCTACACATAGAACAAATTGCATGTTATAATTTATTAATTTATCAAGTGTACTTACAACTCAAAAAATACTCATTTAATCAACTAAAATTTTATTTTTTTTTATAAAAAATATGAATTATTCTATTAATAAAATAAGGCTAAAAGTCTCAAGAATGTAAATTAATCGTATCTACTTGATTTGTAAGAGTAATTTAATTCTATTAATGTTTTCAATGTACATACTTAACTAACATCATATTTCTATTATCAAGAGGTTCCATAAGTGTAGCCAGAAGTCAGCAATTGCCTTTTGATTGGGCTTGTGGGATTAGCTTAGGTCTTAGGAATTGATATTCTGACAAAAAAAGGTTAAAAGACTTAGAAATATTTCCATTTCATTAAATAAATACAATAAATCAAATTAACAACATTATGTGTATAAATGACAAAGAAGTCTTCTTATAATAAACAAACATAAAGTCTTCTCGTAAATATCTCATTGTTAAAGTATGGCTTTCCATCTCAAAAAGATATTCATAAATCAATGATAGCCTCATAGTTTAGGAAAATATGATATGTAATTTTAGTGAATTATTAATTTATGGTATGAATGGAACCAAAGTATTATATAAGATTTTTTTTAAAAAGTTATTATTATCTTATTATTTTGTTGAAATTATTATCTTACTAATTTATCGCATTGGCCCAAATTGGGACTAGAAGATATATCAAGTACATATCTCATTGGCTATATGTTATTTGATATTATCAGGTATTAATTTGTAGAGATTTTACTAGTTAATATATCAATCAGACATATCCACCAGATCACCTATTGAGTATTTTGTACATGACTTCCACTCTCGTACAGAAGAAGTCCAACCCTCCAATGGCCGTTCGTTATCGAGAAGGTGCTGAATCAATTACCCATTGCTGTTCATTGGAACTGCAAAAAACATGGCATCACTAAAACTAAAGAAGAAAAGAAAACCGTGACGTCCTTGATTTAGATTCTTTAGTTTTATTTCATCCTCAAGTTAAATGCTGATGGCTCCAAAGTCCAAAATATCAAAGCGAAACTTGACATTCATTCACGCTCGTCAAAATTAGAAAAAAGAGATGAGAGTGGGCCTGGTCATCAGTCTCAGTTTCATCATTTTAAAAAAGAGGTATCATCATTTTCAAATGCTCCTTCCGTCTCAATTATCTGTTCCTATTTTGAAAATCAAACTTTTTAAATATAGTACTGAGTGTGTTTGGATTGAGATGATTTGAGATAAAATAATTTATTTCATAAATTTTAATTAATTTTTATTTTACATACATCACATCATAAAAAGTGTTATCATAATTATTTCAAATAAACCCCTATCCAAACAAACCCAGTGATTTGATCGTGATATTTGCATTTTTCTTTTCAATTTTACTCCCACAAATTCAAATTCAATTTGAATTTGAATGATAACATGCATATTAGAATGAGGGGTTATATTGGAAAAAGGGACTAAAAAACACTTTGATTTTTTTAATAAGATAAATATTTTGAAACATTTTAAAATGAAAAATAGGACGCTTTCAATGTAATGCAAGTGATAGGGCTAAAATCACCGTCCAATCATCTATCAATCTTGAGTAACAAACAATTACGGTGTCTAATTTAGAAATTAAGGCATGGAAGAAGACAAGTAGGATAACTAAACCATATATTTGTCTATGACAAGACAAAAAGTCAGCAGCGGAAAGTGCTGGACTACCACCACCGACGCTCCCCTGCGCGATTGGTAATAAAATCCGTGCGATCCTTCGCTGTAGGCACTAGGCAGCAGCATGACAGTTTTGAACGGTGTGAACCAACGACCTCTCGCGTATAGATGATGCGAAATATGAAATGAGATGACGCTTGATTTATGACGTAAGACGCGCATCATTTTTTGGATCTCTGCTTCACTTCGGTCTAGTCCTGCAATTTTGGTACCATAAACTTGCATCATATTGATGTAATTGTAAAATTTGTCCACTCATATAGCTTTTACTTTTAGTGTATAATTTACCAAAATTACACAAGAATTATGTGAATTTATATAAAAATTGTGGGAATTAACACCAATTACACTGAACTGGATAGAACCCAAGAGGCCTCTTTTTTTCATTTTTCTGGACGTTTCAAACGCGCCCATGGCTTGTGACCTTGTGTTTGCAGTTGCATTATTAGACTAATATGTATGCGTGCATTTAACACACACATATATATATATATACACACACACATATATATATATATACTTGTGTGTTAGTAACGCGCGCACATTACTACGTACTTGCAAATGGGCGAATCTGAGAATTTTGTTTTCAAACACTACAATAATATATATAAAGACTGATATTGTGTGTGTGTGTGTGTGTGTGTTTTTTTATATATATTTTTTCGTGCTGGTTGTCGGCTGCCAGAGCTTAAAGATAAAATTTGCTGTCCAAATCCAAATTGAGTTGGACAATTGCCGAACTTGCTCGTGGCAGCGTCGACATGACACATTCTAACTGACTGAGTTGCGCCAATCCTTATCCCTACTTGTATTGTTTGTCTCCATATGATTGATTTTTTTTTTTCTTCTTTTTCTTTGTTTATGCTCTTAGGCTTCATTTGAGAGTTAAGGATTTGGGCAAGAAAAGAAAGTAAGAGAAAGTTTGATTTTTCCTTGTTTGTGAGTTTTTAGTAAAAAAAGAAAAGAAAAGAAAAAAAATGGAAGGATAAATAATAGGTAAAATTTTTTCTCCTAAATTAAAGAGAAATGGAGAGAAAGTTGGAGGAAACTTGTGAAATTTTTTTAAAATACCTATTTTATCCTTAAAATGATCTTGAACAAATATTTAATAACTTTCATATTCAAAATCATTTCACTAATTCTTAAAACTATCAAACAACGTACGTAACAATCCCTTCTCTTCTCTCGTAACTTCAGTTTTTTCTCCTTCTCTTTTCTATCCTAAACTGCCAAACTAAGCCTTAAGTTCCCAAGAAAACTGAAAAAAAAAAATCCATGAACACTTTTTTCGGGTTTAGTCTATCATTTCGACATAATCTAGTCAGTTGCCTATGTTGCAATGGCTGCGCAAAGTGGGACATGTCCCTTCCTATACCTTTCCCTTTTTTTTTTTTTTGAGATTTTTATTTCTTTTGGGTGCAGACTGCCAAGATAGTATGGTGAACCTGTATATACGCCATACTTCATGCTTCCCACATTGCTATCCTCCAACAGTCCAACGTGAAGTAATGTGCCTAGCTATGGAGATCAATTCTTTTTCTTTTTTTTTTTGCCCAATGAAATTATTGTACGAGTATGTAGATCAATTCTATATCCATATACACTCATCTGTACCAATTGCCTTCTATCCTGCCCAACTCAATTGATGCTTCAAAAATAGGTAGATCCGAAACCGTTTACCCCGATTTGTCCAGTGATTTTGGATCCATTGCACTCTATCGCTTCCTATAATCATCATATGATTTCGATGATAAGTTCCTGGGTCATCATATGAAGATTTCGCAGTTCCTGGATGCATCTACCAAGATTTGCAATTTGGCCACGTGAAATACTTACGTGGACATATCTTATGACTCCGCCTGTGTAAGAGTTTGAAATTGAAGTCGGCCAAACATTTATCTTAGACCCTTGGGACTGGCATGATGATGAAGCCAACCCCGCTTTGGGCTGTTGATCACCACTAAAGATTTAAGTTTTGGTGGGATTGAAGATGAGGGGTTTAAGTCTTGTTTTCGATAAACTATACTAGGAATAGGAGTAGAGTAGATGTTGCTGATTGACAAAAATGAATTGACAAGCACATATGCAGAAATTTCACTATAGTAATTGACTAATATAAATAATGAGATAGATGTTGTCCACTGACAAAAATGGATTGACAAGCGCATATGCAGAAATTTCACTATGGTAATTGACTAATATAAACAGTGAGATAGATGTTGTCGATTGACAAAAATGGATTGACAACCACACATGTAGAAATTTCACTATGGTAATTGACTAATGTAAATAGTGAGATAGACATGAGTAGTACGTACAAACTTAGGCAAATGAATGTGTGTCTGCATAATATACACTTTGGTTTTATTTTGCGCATATTTGAATAGAAAGATCGAGAGTCATTTCGTTTGTTATGCTATAATCCTCAAATGAATGTGGACGATATCTGGACGATGGAATTAACTACAAGTTTTATTTCCCTTTTAGAAAAGCTGGCAAAAAGTTAGATGATCAAGAATGCCTAAAACACTTACTCGTGATTAGGAAGTCTGAAAAGAAACAAGGAGTCAATCGAAGTGCATGCTACGAAATACAAGCAAGCAACAAAGGGATTTGGCGTGCAATCTTCATTCTTCTTCTGGATCAAATATCAGCATTGATCATTATTATGCGTGGGTATACATCAAACATGGCATAATTAAATTTTGTATCATTCTTCTTCTGTCGATCCGCAATCCAGACGCGAGTCTTGGATTCACAATCAGTGTTCTTGTGTGTCCAGTTATATGTGCATCATCGGCAACAAGAAGGAAATGCGTACAACTTCTGTCATCTATTACATCAAACATGGCATAATTAATTTTGCATCATCTCTACCTTAAACCCGAGAATTAAAATTATTAAAACGTGCAGTATTAAAAATGAAGCTACTTGTATGCCATCAAGTTACAACAGCATGATGGTTTCCTTTCCTAGATATCTTGCTAATAAAACCAAAACCATCCACTTTGGTGTTTGGTCAACGTGACTTTTGGGCTGAATTTCCAAAGATGAAACCAACTACGGTCAGGTTGAGTTCGATAGATAGCTTGAGGAGATCCTTGGCTGGAAAAAGGTTTAGCGTCTGATAATAATAGCCTAGAGGGTATAAATTCAGTTGATATTCAATCAAAGATTTTATTTGTTAAGCGCTCAGGGTTTTCATAGTCCTACTAC